GCCTGGGAAAGATATAATACATTGACGACAGTGATTATTTCTAAGCAGTTGACAGTTATTATTTCTTGCATTTTTTTAGGCTCAAAAAGGACTCTCTTTCCCCTTTCCTGGCAAAATGTTTTGGTGTGGTAATGCATTAATGTAGTGGTTATCTAATGAAAGTTAAAATTAAACATAGCTGTGCTAGGAAAGAGAAGGAGAGAAAGAGAGAAGTCAGAAAAGAAAAAGACCCCAAAAGATGATGGGAAATGGTTAGCCAGTTCTTGGGATTCAAGTTCTCCTACTTCCACTTATTTACACAACTGAACAACTAAAAAAGACTTTGCCTAAGCTTCAGCAGCATATCAACATCTGAGTTCGATCTTCTCAGCTTTTAGGGTATGCTCGGCTTGATTCTTGTATCATCATTCTAATTACGTACAATTTTCAAAAAAGAAATAAACAAAGGGTCATGGAAACAAACAGTTTCCCAGCTACAAAAGCAAAGAGACTTATCACCCCAAAATGCTGACTAGGACAGATAATGACTATCAGCCTCCACAGAATGTGGCTCTTCTTCTTCCTCATAAACAACCTCGCTCTTCTCCCCTTCCTTTATCTGGTAGCAGGATCCTCCAGCCTCGGTGTACCCAGGGTCTCAAAGGAGACTTGAAAATGTAGAGCAAGAGCCCAGGCCCAGAGCTCCTGATACAGCACATCTACAAGATTGATGGTGGGACCACCTAGAGCTGTCCCTGTCTCTGTCACTTACTTGCTCTGTGATCTTAGGAAAGTGAATAAACCTCTCAATGACACTATTTGCTCATGTATAAAATGGAGCTCAGGTAGCGCCTCCCATATACTGGTGTCAGATTCAGTGCCTGGCTCCAAGTACACAGTCCCAGAGAACTGCCTCTGCTATTTCAACAAAGAAGATGACCATCTTGGTGACTATAATTACTACTGGGCAAGGCCCAGGTATTTCCATTGTAACAGCTACTTCCATGACACATTACATTTTGAGAATGTTTATATTCATGATTCCCGGTGGTGGGGAGGGGTGATGACAGACCACAAGAAACAGTCCTCAAGGGTCACTTGAAGCAATTAAAGTTTTCACTATAGCTCCTCTAAGAAGCCTGAAAGACCCAAACCCTGTACCCATCCATCTCTCTAGGTTAGATACACACTGTGCGCATCTCTGCAGGAGGCCTGACCACTTCACCTGGGGAGCAGCTTTCAAAACCACTCTGAATGCAGTTGCCTTTCAGAATACAGGAAATGTCGGTCCATTGTTAACTGATTTGAAAAATTAGACACTCAAGGCCAGGTGCGGTGGCACATATCTGTAGTCCCAGCAGCTCAAGAAGATGAGACAGGAGGATTGTGAATTCAAAGCCAGCCTCGGCCAGGGGCAAGGTGCTAAGCAATTCAGTGAGACTCTGTCTCTAAATAACACAAAATAGGGCTGGGGTTGTGACTCAGTAGTCAAGTGCCCCTGAGTTTGATACCTGGTACCAAAAAAAAAAAAATTAGACTCTCAATTTTTTTGCTAAGAAAAATTTATTGCATATTATATTTATAAATTATTTAATTTATATATTATTCCTATATCTGATTAAATTTTTTGACCCTTTGGCAGCTTTGCCTAGAGATTGTTTGGTTCTAAAATAAAATATTATCAGCAAACTTCTGGGTTAGCATGATTCCCCATTGAATCACTCCATTAAAAACAGAAAAAAACCCTTAATGTTAGCACATAGATGCCTGTTAGAAAATTTAGCAGAAACACAGATGCTACTGGCTCAGAATTTCTGCAACATACTAATGATTTGTTGTGGTGGTGGTGTTTTTCCCTTTGTGAACAGAAGATAACAAAAGCTTAGGAGGGGTTTACCAGATTCATGGGTGACCAAAGCCCAAGTGGCCTCTGAGTTAATACCAAAATCTGCACTACACTCAGTGCCCTCTTGAGACTATCTTTGGGATCACTCTTCCTTTGCTGCACAATGCATTTTAGTTTCAGCTTATCATCACCTTTGTTCAAGACTAAAGCACAGGGTACAATCTAAATGCCCCCAAATTGGGTTAGAAATGATCAAATAATTGCTAATACTTTCCCACAACAGAATCTTATGTATGTACCTGTTAAGAACAATATGTCCAGATAAATGGAGATGATATACCCTAACATTAATCTGTAAAATAATAATAATAATAAGAAGAAGAAGAAGAAGAAGAAGAAGAAATACAACTAGTAAGATATCAATGACATAAATACTCTCATGTGGGAAAAATACAAAAATCAATATACCAAATATTAACAATTTTTTATATTAATTTACCAAAAGTTAAAATTGTTAGTTTCTGGATGGTGAGATGAAAAGTAATATCAGCTTTTCTATAGTTTGGACTCTTTTTCAAAGCTTTTCATATAAGCAGTAATAACTATTCTAATCAGAAAAACATAAATGAAACAAAATCCTAGTACTCTTAATACCTAAGAGTGAATAAATGAATACAACATGCTTTCTTTCTTTTCTTTTCTTTTTTTTTTGTTCCAGGGATTGATTCTAGGAGTGCTGAACCACTGAGTTACATCCCCAGCCCTTTTTATTTTTTTATTAACTTATTTTGAGACATGATCTTGCTAAGTTGCTTAGGGCTTCGCCAAGTGGCTGAGGCTGGCTTTGAACTTGCATTCCTCCTGCCTTAGCCCCCCAAGCTGCTGCAAGGTGTGTGCCACAGTGACCAGCTATGCTGTGCTTTCTAAAACCCATGAGATAAGCCTTGTTTTGTGAAGTAGAGAGAGAAAAGCAAGTACCTTTAGCATCCTCACCCAGGGCCCCTGAAAAGTCAAATGCCTTCAGGGTCTCTGTCAGGAAGGGCCACTTCAGAGTGAGTAGAGATTCCTGACCTCCCTACAGATGCCTTGAAATTACTATCCTAAAGAGAACTCAGGGAGCTGAATTCACTGGTCTATTCTTGGATCTAGATAAATTAGAAAAGGCTTATCTAGTTAGAAAGGTTTATCTTGATCATCCAAAAGGATGCTCAGAAAATGTGTCTGTCTTGGATTATTTTTTTTCCCTTGGAAGACTAGGGTAAATGAAGAAAAGGGTGAATAAAATGGATATAACCAGATGAGAAGGAGAGGAGGGCTATTGCTTGACACACCAGAATAGCCCAAGTTCCCTTATGTACCAGGGATCATTGGGAAAAGAAACACAGTGATAATGTGTGCAAAGAGAAAAAACATTTTGCACTAATTTTCCTTTAACTCCCTATAACACTGTCACTATGCTCACTTGACAGGCAATAAATGGGGGAAGGGAGGATCCAGGTCTCCACTGCTCTCATGGTAATGGTGTTGAGTTAGTTAGCTTCCAGTGGCTCCATACACAGTACCACAAAAGTGGTACACACAGTTGGACAGTAGAATGGGGTTATCCAGGCTGGGAAAGATGGGGAGGGGAATAGGTAGAGGTTGGCCATTAGGTACAAAAGCACAGTTAGACAAAAGGAATACATTCTGATGTTCTATAGCACAGAAAAGTGACTATTGTTAAAATAACTTACTATATATTTCAAAGCAGCTGGAAGAAAGGATTTTAAGTGTTCCCAACACAAAGAAATGGTGCATGTTTGAAAGGATTGATATGCTAATTGGCCTTATCTGATCATTATACTTTGAATGAATATATGGATATATCACATTGTGTTCCATAAATGTGTATGCTTATTTTACAATTGATTAAAAATAATAATAATAATAAAGACAACAGGAATTTATTCTCTCACAGTTCTGGAGACTGGGAGTCCAAAATCAAGGTTCTAGCACACAGTGCTCTACCTGCAGGATCTGAAGAAGGCCCTCCTGGCCTTTGCCCAGCTATCCTGGCCCTAGGCACTCCTTGGTTTATAGCAGCATCACTCTAGTATCTGTGTCTCTGGTCCCATGGCCTTCTTCTCAGTGTATCTGTCTGTCTCTGTCTATTCCTTTTCTTATAAAGACATGGGTCACAGTGGATTTGGACCCACCCTGCTCCTGTATGACCTCACCTTAACTAATTATATCTGCAAGATCCTATTCCCAAACCAAGGTCACCTTTTCTAAGGTTCCAAGTGGTCATGAAATTTTGGGGAACACTTCCACCCAGCACTGTAGGGTTCTGACTTGGGAGCATGGCTCCTGAGCCCACGCCCCGAGTTCCTGCCTTTACATGGCCTCCTGGGTGTGCCTCATGGTGGTGCACTATCTGCACATACACTGCACAATGTCAAGACCCCCATCCCATCCTCAATGAGCTGCTCATCTCCTTAACACGAGTGAGATACCAAAGAGAAAAAAGCATATCACTAAAGTGTCCTCTTCTGGATGCCAGAAAAGTTGAAGAGTGTGGAATGAGGGTGGATGGCCTTGGACATAGGCAGCCTCCAGACAGGGTAGGAGGAAGGGGCTGCACTGAGCTAAGACAAGGTGCCACCAGAACAGCCCTCAAGACAGAGCAGGAGTGCCGGAGCAGGACGGGAACCGAGGCTGGAGTTAGAAGATCTCAGAGCTGCTTCACAAACAAGCAAAGGGACTGAGATTTAATTTTGGAAGGAAAGAAAAAAAATGTAATAGGGGTAAAATTCAGGTTTAAGAACTCCTCTGGCCGAGGAGGGCAGGGTGAGCACAGAGCCTGGAAAAACCAAGTTGTCAAAACCTATTGACAAAACACGCTGGGGCGCTTGTGCACGGATATGCACCGGCATCATGACTACATCTTCTCCATTGACAAGTCAACAACTTGCCTTAGAAAATGAGCACGGTATGCAGATGCTCACTGTACCTTCATTCCTTCACCGGGGAGTCCCCTTCCAGGCAGTCCCTTAATCCATATGCAGGCATACCCCAGCTTCCCTCCAATACCCGACCGCACCTCAGCCAAGAGCCGAATAAAAAGGAAGGTGAGAGAAGGAGAAATAAAAATATATAAGCCACAGCCAAAAGAGAAAGCAGCCAGGAGAGAACTCACCTTTGCATCGCTCACAGCAGGCGCCCCTCTGCTTGATGGCCAGCGCACAGTCTCTGGACAGCACTGGGCACTTCTCTCTCTTACACGTCACTTCTTTGTTCTAGGCAAAAAAAAAAAAAAAAGAAACAAGAGATATTTGAAATCAACTTCAAACAGAGTTCCCAGCATCCTAACCCATGACGGAAGTTTTCCTCTATATCTTGCTTTCATCTTAGCAAGAAGTTCTGTGATAGCAAATAGAATTTTTCTCTCTCTGAAACAGAAATATCCATCCAGGACCATGGGACTTTTGGAAAGCACAGGGCTTTTAGAGATGAGAGGAGCTGAAAAGCCCTTTCTGTAAAAGCCAACTTTGCCCAGATAACCGAATGCTCAGGGAGAAGCTTTCTCCAGCTGCATTCTAAGGTTTCCTTTTAGTACACACTCCAGAAATGATAATATTTGTGTAAATCATATTTTGCCCATTGGGCTACCTGGGCCAGGACTGCATCGTGAGAACAAAAATATTTTCTCATGGCCGTCCAACAATCCTTAATAGTTGAGTGCATTAAAATGCAGCAATCTAAAGTTCCAACTCAAATAATGACAAAGTTGAGTATTGAATCAGCTCAGTAAGAGAAAAAATAATATTCCACATGCCAAGCAGAGACACAGTCGTCAGTGTTTTATAGCCGTGGGACAGCTGCGTTACATTAGCACTTATGCTAATGAAAGTGTGGTAAGCATTTGCATCTTTGGTTTTATCCCGAAAGGTTAGCTGTTAAAATGTCTCAGAGAAGATCCAAACATGATGTGTATGCCTGTCTGTAGGAGTGAGCCCACACAATCCAAAAGACTATGTCACAGAACTGCACCGAGATTTGAGTCTTAATAAGAGTTTACTAGGAATAAGCATACTCTCTTTAGAGCTTTCATTCTTACTTCAGTCCTATGAGGTAAATTTTGTCATCATCCCCATTTTACAAATAAGAAAACTGCTGTTCAGAGAGATTCTCAGACTTTTCCAACTTGACACAGCTTCACGACGGGAGAGGTGGAACTCAAGCTTAATGTCACAAATGTGTGCACACGGCTCCCTAACCTGGGTTAAGGCTGGTGCTACCAACTCCATTGCCTGGTGTGAGAGTAGCTTGGAGAGGAGCAACTGGCCAGCTCTGCTCACCTTAAAATAAACCTAGATCCCTCCTGGAATACGGACTGAAGGAATCCCAACTCAACCCTGATGGTGAACTTGAGAAGACTCACAAACGTTCCCCCACACTTCAATATTAGAGACCAAGGAAGAGTTCACCTCACCATCTCTAGTCTAGAACCAAGAAGATGTGTGCATGTGTAAATGTGAATGAGTGTGTGTATGTTTGTGTGTGTGTGTGTGTATGTGTGTGTCTTGAAGGCTGGGAGCCTAAGCCAAGCCCATATATTGAAATCCGTCCCCAAGGCTATTGTTCTAAGATAAAATTTATCACCTCATTATATCAAATTCTGTGGCCTCTGATACATTCCCAGGGTCTAATTCTAAGATTAATCCAGATTGTCACCCTCTATCTTTTCATCAGATATTTTGTGAGCCCCAGAACCCCAATATCTTGAATTCAACCCTCACAGCTCCCCTGAGTGGGTCAGAGGGTATTAGGAGGACAGGGCCCACCTTCCAACAGCTCCATTCCTGCATTAGTTCTGTTGTTTCCTTGCCATATGATTTTGCAAGACCTCCTGAGTCCCACCACAACTCATGTAAACAGCCTGAGGCTATCTCTGGACCTGTCCAACCACCCAGAGACTGAGCTTCAATCCACTGCCCATACCTGAACCCCATTCCTGTAGGGCTGTTGTTGCTGATGGTCTGCGTTTATCATTTACTGGTAGGATTGGAGGGTGTGGCTTCTAAGCATCTCTCTCTCTCTCTCTCTCTCTCTCTCTCTCTCTCTCTCTCTCTCTCTCTTCCCCCTTCCTCTCTCTTGTTTTTGGGGTAGCTGGTGTTTTCTGGTGTTTTTCTGGTGGTGAAGTGCCTTCCTGCGGTTACTCCTCATTTACTCCTTAAGATTCTGTGAGACAGTAGTCTTCATCCTTAACTGCAAATGAGAAACCCCCATGGAGTTCTTAACAAAGGCTGAAGCTGTGGCCTACCCCTTGAATCTCATCTGTCATCTAAGGACAAGCATTAGTGTATTTTCCAACTCCCAGGTAATCTGAGGCCAGCCTGGATTGTGAACTACTGCTCTAAAGAGAGTATGCTTATTCCTGAAGAGGCTAGGAATGAGTGAGGAGGTGAAGGAGCTGTCCACTCTTCCTCTGAACAACAGACTGGGCGTTCTGGCTCCAAGCTCCTTCCCTCACTTTGATTCTTTACAATGAGGGTGGTATCAAAGCTAACTGTAAGTTGCAGCCCATAGATTTATTTTTTAATAACATTTCTCAAATAACAAACATAGCATAGTGACGGTCAGATATTAAATTAAAGAGATCTATGTTAAAAAATTAAGAGTATCATCAAACTAATTCTCACCAAAATCATCAAGAATAGCTGTCAGACACACAGGCTGCTGGGCCTTATTAAGTGTGAGTTTGTTTTGACAAGTGCAGCTTCTGCAAGTCCTGTTTTGACACAGACTGCCCCATTCCAGGTTGACTGTGACAGGAGTTTCTTCCACAAGCAGACTTTGTCACCACAGCTTGATGCACTCAGCCAGCCTGGCTGCACCCTTAGAGAAGGGCCACCAGAAGTGCGGGTCCTCCCTCCTGAAAGGAAGATTCCTCAGGCACAGGGAGTTCAAAGCTCTCAGGCACAGTGGCAGTCAGAGTGGTGTGAAGATGCAATTTGGGATCTGGTAAATAAGAAGGCACACATTCTTCCATAGGAACTCCTTGCTAAATTATAAACCTGGGAGTCAGTCAAAATCTATAACAGGATCCCAAGATTCATAATAAATAGCTTGTAATTACAGTCCAGCACAAAAGTTATTCTAACCAGATGGTTTGTAGATTCACATCTGGATTTTTTTTTCTGTACACACAGAGAAAGAGAGGGGGACAGAGAGAACAAAACTAAACCTGTAGGCTTAGTGGAGTTTTTCCCCTTTCTGATTACACTTAGTTTCTTAAATACTGACAAGGTCATATTGGTAGGGAACTGCCATAGCTGATCATTTATTTCCCTGGTGTCTGATTGACATGGGTATGAAGATATGCTTAGAATCTCCAGCCCTCATGGAAAAAAAAAATTAAAAGTCTGGAGAATCACTGGAGACTGATTCCTCTGTCTCCTTAATTGAGTGCAGCAGCTACAGGGTAAATTTAAACACAGGTTAATTAAGACCACTCCCTTACTTCCCTGATTTTGCCAAGAGAAAAAAACACACATCTTCGAGCCACTGGCCCTGGTGAGGAATGACACACACAAAGCCACACCTCCAGGAGTCTCTGATCTCCTCAGTCACCTTGTCCTGAGGACACCAAACAATCACTGTGGCTCCAGGTCACAGTTCACTCAGTTTACTTTTTCATTAAAGAAACATTTTCTGATACTGGCTCATATTCAAGGTACAATTTCTACAATGTGTTCAGGCTCGAGGCTAAGAATCTCGTATGTATTCCTTCACCAAAAATTCCACATCATCCCCATTTTACTGATGAGGAACCAAGTTAGGAAACACACAAAAGGCAGATCTGGACTACAAATAGGAAGAGATCTGTTATTTAAATATACTTTCTGTACTTTCCAAGCTTTTGGGATACAGAGAACAAAACAATGTCCCTTCCCTGAGGACCCTGGAAAGACTGAGGTCTTCCCGGTGGCTCCATGCATGTGACCTGAGCTCTCCAAAAGAATAACTTCAAGAATCTCCATCTTCACCAGCCATTGGAAGTCAACAGACACCAATTGTCTTCTGGTAGCAAGAAAAGTGGTTCCAATCTGGACATTGACAGGGAAGTGTCTCTCATAACTCTGAAAGCAAGATTGGTATCCTCAAACAGTTTTCCCCAAATTCCAGCTAGGGTTGGAGTCTCTCTATTTCTAAGCAAACAGAAATTATGGGGGGAAAAAATTGCATTCAAGGAAAAAGATGAAAACCTAAAAAAAATCAAACTAACTACAGTAGGAGTGACAAATCTAATCTCATCTTCCATTCTCAGTCTCCTCTCTGTGTTAATCACTTTTTCTGGTCAGCCAGCCATGATTTGCCTGCTAACAAAGGTGTCTCTCTGTATTATCGTCTCCTTTCTGAAAGACAGACAACAGATACCCTAACATTGACCACATACACCAAAACCCAAAATGTATCCTCTGGAGACACCTCAAATGAAGTGCCAACAGGCAAAAGTAAAGGGGAGAGGGGGAAAGGAGTAAAAAAAAATCTACATGGCTGGCAACAAAGGTCTGTAAGGATGGGAGCCAAACCACAGACTGAAGCCACAGCCAAGTTTAAGCAGGATTCTGGCGGCTGGCTTGCTGTATCTAAGACCTGCCACTAGATGGCAGCACAGAGTTCCCTGGCTTTAAAAATTGCAGCCCTGAGCCTGGCTCCCACCTCGGGAGCATTTTTCAGTGTCTGGTGGGGAGGGAAATGAACTCTCCCTGTTGAGGGTTGGGCAGAAGGGTGCAGAAGATAGCAAAGCACCAATGTGAAATGTTTCTGTTTGCTTTCTTCCACCAGACAAAAACGTTTTTGAGATGATTTTATTATATTACCAGCCAATGACTTGAAGATTTTTTTTTTAATTCTTCCAGAACTAATCCTATTATGCAATATGGAAAGTATTACCTGATCTGTCGTTTATGCTTTAAAATACCTTAATAATCTGGAGACAAAAACACAGCAGCTAATATGATGTGAGTGGTGAAGGAGAGACATCCACAGACAGATATTGTTTTAGACTATGAGACAGTATCACAGATCTCGTGAAAAAAAAAAAAAAACTTAATTTGAAAATACCCATTCCTTTGCCTGCTGATCCTTCATTTAATGAGCCATACTAGCAAGGTGGCAGTCCACACTAGTCTATTCCCCTGGAGATGGCATAATTTTCCTTCCATCCCTGTCCCCTATGAAAGCAAAGCCTGCCTCAAAGGCAAACAGCTGTCTTGGCAAATAGTCAAAT